CTAGTTGGACACCAACTGCCCAACAGACCCTCCTGTTGGAGAAAACAATATGTATTTTGCATAAGAAAAATAAATATGCACAGAGGGAACAACATTTCCATAAAGAGAAGAACACTGAGGGCCAAAGTGCACCACTAAGATATTATTAGAAATCCTTCTGGTCAACTGTAGAATCGTAAAAATGTTACACAATTTTATCCAACTGTTTAAAAAAAAACAGATTCTATGTTATTCAAAAGACAAGAAACCAGAGGTTGTTTGACAGTTGCTTCCAATAATAGAAAAGCTAAATAATATCATGCCCGCAATATAATCTGGTCTTGGCTTTTATTGGATTCAAAACAACCACGATCATAAAGCTTGACTGGACATATCAAACAAACATTTTGTTCATGCCAAGTCTCCAAGAAAAGAAAGGTCACAGCAGCCAATGTAGCAGCGTGACCGATTCTTGTACAACACTGAACCATACTGCATTACGTGCCACAGACGGAAGTATAATTGTATCATGGCTATCATCAAAGTGTTTTATGTTCAGACATCGTGTAGCTTCATTGGCAAGGTTAAACCGAGAGGCCATTTCTCTTTCGATAGTGCCATGTATCCTGCACCAGGGACAAAGACACACACACACATTGCACTACTTTTGTGTAATATAATCCAAGAAAAGCTTTGTTTTTTCCGAATTTGTGAATTTTCCTTTGCAATATCTGTAGGTCTAATGAACAAATACCATGTACCGACGTCTCTGCAGATTCTGTACTCTTAAGTTTGTCACCATGTCGATGTCTATGGGTTTCTTTATGGTCGAAACAGAGCAAAGCTTTGATGAAATGTTTTGGCGTCTCTATGTTTCCTTGTTTTCTGTTTCCGGGGTATGTGCGTATGTGCGTGTGTGCATGATTTGGTGTGGGTGACTCACTGGGTGCCACTGCCTGGGTGAAGCCATATCACACTTGAATAAAAAAAAAGAAATATGAGCTTACTCCTGGAATGGTTTTTCCTTTCTGTTCTGCTTGAGATCAAGACTTTTGGGTAGCTATGGTAGTCTGTAAGAGGATATTAAGTTAGTGTGGTCCCTTTATACTGTTAGATAGCTACCGACGCTGTTTAAAATTGGTAACACTTAACCAACCACTGATGGAGCAAAACAAGGCTGGTAGATAACAGTCAAACCAACAGTCTACCAAAATGAAAAATTGCCGCACAGAGGCTGCAGGATTCAAAAGTGCTGAACAAAGTAGTTGGTAATAATCTGACGATTACAATACAATTTTGGCCTCTTTCCATTACACAACTGAATACTAATAGATTCATGTATTTTTTACATTCTTACAAAAGTAAAACTCAAAAAACATTAACATTTTCTGACATCATTTATTTGGTGTTTTTCAGCCTCTGAGCCAATTATCAACTTTCTCACAAATAAAGGCTTGAAATTTCTCACTTTGGTGTAATACAGTAAGTCCGTCATAAATTAGTTTCACATTCTAAATAGAAGTAAATGGACTTTTGAATGATATTCTAAATTTTCAACGTTTTCCTTTGTAGAAAATCAACCTCACTAACACTATTAAACCACTTTGTTTGTTTGTTTACAGTAGATTCTGCAAACAGATGGTAGGTGGCTTTAGAAATCGATTTAACATTTCTCCAATCACAGTTGACTTTAACCATTGCCGAGCCCCTCTTCTTGCATGACATAATTTCCATCCAAATAGTCAATCCGTGCAGTGGCCCGCGTGGCAGTCTGCTGGTGACCCTTGCCATGCAGCTGGCTCTTCAGTAGGTGGGAAAACACACGGCCAACATCCCTTTTTATCCCTTCCCACACCGCAGTAATTATACCGTGGGCCTTGGACGTCAGGCTGAGCGCGGGGCCCACTCACAATAAGAACAGAGGCGAAGGGGCGTGCGGGCCTGGTGCTGCCGGTAAGCCTGTAATTTGGAATCTTAAATGATCAAGTAAACCAAGCCAAGCGGTCACGTCACTGATATGATGAAGCGGCTCAATAAGCAGATGCGGACATGTTGCTTATTTAGGGGGGTGGGAACGGCTGGGAGGCTGTCACGGCTCAAGATAAGACAAAAGAAAATACATATATATATATTTTAAAGTAAAGCAGTGATTGATAGGGCAAGGATGCAGTCTGCTGAAAAAAGCCAGAGTAAAGTGCTTGGAAATACAATGAATGAGTTTGTTGGAGGAGTGATGGATGTGATATTGAAAAAGAAGGCTCCAAGGTGATTAGGAAGAAAGGATGTTCCCCGCAGGCAGCTCGGCATCGTCTTTCCAAAGTCTGTCACCGGAATCTGTTACAACAAACATGGCAAGGGCAAAAGCAGGATTTTTATATACCGAGGTCCAATGTATTTGGTCTAAAGATAACATAAGACAGACTTTATTGATCTCACATTGGAGAAATGTACATGTCTCATTTGGCATACATAGAATCACTCAGATTGTGTAAAAGACAGAAGTGAGCAACATGTTATAAGATATTATATTTACATGCTGACAATACTAGCACTGTAACTTTAAGACTTTTTTACAAGAGAATCCTTGCATATCAAGTGCCTTAGCGTCCTTGTAAAGAAAATGCAAACCAAAAACATGCAATTTTGTATAATCTGGTCTTTTGATTGAAGGCATAATACCCGCCTTTTTGTTTCATGGACATGTTGTTTGTCCCAAGAGAAAGAGTCTTTTTAAGCAACATTTTGTCAAGAAATCAGACCACAGCATACTATATTCATCTTATTAAGAAAATTTTTTTACCTACTGGGTAACGGCTGGTTCTCTCTGAGGCCAAAAATACATGCATGTGATAACAAGTGGTACAGATAAACTGATTTTAGAGCCAGGATCTAGTGACATGGATTTTATTACACCGTTATGTTTTGTGGTTTCAAAGCCATACTCCAGCTTTATTAAAATGTCAATAAGTCCTTATGCAGTAAGATGATATGGAGTACGCCAACATGATCATCGACTGCAACCAGCTAATTGAAAATAATCAAAAATAAGTATTTGCCAAAACTTGTTTCTGTAGAAAACATGACTGAACATGAGAGAGTCAGAGGCAATGACCAAAAAACACATTTGAATATCAAACACCTGAATAGAGTTAATATATACAAAATACAGATGGATCTCAATGACACGAGCACCGATACTAAATGAAATGTAAAAAGGTCTTCTTTATGTTTAAGGCTGAGAAGGCTCTATTAATAAGGCAACTCTGTGTGAAAAGTGTGAAAAAGCTAGAACTGCGTATTTAAGCCTTAAAGCATAGATACTGGTGGAAAGCCAATCCTATCTGTAAAATCATAAAAAAAGGCATGTGGTTAGTGAATATATTAAAGAAATAATACAACAATAAATATGTCTCTATGTTTATTACATTATATGAATCTAATATGCAGATTTTACCAAACAACAACATCTTCAAAATCAGCACATGTGCCTTGCTGATTTTGATTGCTTTGTGATTACAACTGTCTCTTTCCAAACCCTTTTAATTCGTCGATGTTAATTAGACTTTTATGCCGCTATTGTAAAGAATATAACTTCTGTGAAATCTGATTTACATAAATGTATTAAGGTATATTTTACATAATAACAGGACAATTCAAATTGATTGAAATTCGCTCATCAGTCCATTATGCAAATGTGCCAGATTTAGCTGGCCATAGACTCATTATCGTTTGGAAATAATAAAAAATGACACTGTGCATACAAACAGCCCCAAGCACAGAAATTACATGAGCTGGCGGTTAGTAAAACAATTATAATCAACGTGGCACAAAATTATACATGCCAGGAATATGATGAAAGCTAAAATGAGCTGCACACCGGGAGGGAAAACAAAAACATAAAAAAATCATTATGCTATACTATAATTTAGAATACGTACACTGTACTTTTATTTGTGTTCACGTGCCTCACTTGGCTGAAAAAGAATAACTGTATCGTGCCAGCAATGCCGCCTGTTGAATATCACTGCATCTGGCGCCATCTAGTGGACAAAGAGAAAATAATCCATGAGGAAAAGCCTACAGTGATGTGTTAGGTTTAGGTTTATTGAAATAAATAAACAAGAAAACTTTGTTGTATGTTATTGTCTTCATCTTAAAGATATTGAGAAAAAAGTATCAAGTAAAATGCCAAAACAATATCTTAACTATCAGAGATTTGTATAGTATATAACAGTGTCTCCCAAAGTGGGGTCCGCGGCCCCCTGGTGGGCCGCGAGGGTACTGCAGGGGGGCCGCGGGAGGTCATTAAAAAAAAATAATAATAATAATGTAATTATTTTATGTTAAATTTATAATGTTTTGTTTGTAATATTAAAATATTTGTGTTCATTATTTGACTTTAATAATCCACTGTAATCATTTTTGTATTGCAATGTTTGTAGCAGAGGCTATTTCCCCAAAATAAAATAACCAGAAGAGCCTATTCTTAATGTTGTCTTCTTGGTTATTATTTTGGGGGGCCACGCAGACCCGTCATATTTTTAAGGGGGCCTCGGTGTTACTGAGTTTGGGAATGGCTGGTATATAACAATGATGTCTAAACAAATTAACATTTGAATATCCCAGGAAGGTAGGTATAAAACAAATCAATATTGATGATATTAATAATAATACAAATACTTTACTGAAAATATCATTGCAGCTGTCATTGCACCTGACAATAGAAGAAAACATTAATGACATGTAAAGCTTAGAAGACACTTAATGTGATTCTATAATATTGATCGGTATTGCCTATATATTTCCGTGTGGTAATTGATTTCATAGGTAATTTACAGATTGTGAAAGTCCTTGGCTCTGCGTGGTTGGTAGCTCAAGATCATTAGAGATCACCCTTCTGTGCGGTGACCCTAATCCTCTTAATAACACTAAGACCGTGAAAGCACCTTCCTGCAATGCCATTGCACTGTTGCCCACTGGCACGTCACCTGACGCTGCAAACAAGAACTACACCGTCGCTTATGAGTCGAGGAAAGAGACCCGAGCTGCCGCCCAAACCAGTGAGTTTTATCCAACTGTATGACTGCATAGAGTGTGTTTACACATTTGGGACACAAAACAAAGTATGTTTTGTAGTCAATTTTGGCTGGTGGATTATGGAAGAAAACTGTAGATGTTGCTGGACAGTTAAGCCAGTTCAGGCCACAGTGTTTCATATGATTTATGAGAATGAGAAACCATCATTCTAATTCTAAAGAAAAAGAACTGAAAAAAATCTGATACCAAGTACTGGTAGCCAAATAATTGGGAATGGTTTCCAGCCCTTTAATTCATGCACTTGATGACTTCTGAGTATATGTCTATGTTCAGTCCCATCAGCCATCACCTCGCTTAACAACAGGCTAAGAGCATCTTAATGTACTGCAGCGTTATGTATGCCCTGTATGTTTATGTTACATGGGCTCTTTGTGTAGAAGAATTTCCCTTTGAGGACAATAAACTTTAAAGCTCAAAGTCTAAACATATTGTGGTTTAGTTTTCAGTTTTCTACAGTAAAATCTATTTCTTTATACAAATTACAATTCTGAATGAACATAGAAGTGTTACAGTAGCATCAATCATCTGGGAAATGTGGTATGTTAAGTCTTTTAGAAGTTGTAATGGGTTTAGTGTCTTTCTAAACTTGTTTTTCTTTATGTTGAACACGCTATAGCTGTTCACAACAAGATAAGAAGATTTTGGGGCTTTTCATTAAGTGAGTCTAGAATTCAGCTCACCACAAAGTGATTTATTCTAAATCCAAGACACACGTTTCAATTGCCACTTCATGATACCTCTTAATCATTGCTGATGTTTACTTGTGTGTCAAGTTTTCACTGAGCAATACTTAGCGCTCATGCATGTCTTTTGTCTAGGGGGGACCTCGTCGCGAAGACATGCCAACTATTCCGGTTAAAAATACACTTCTGCATCTGAATGGTCAAAACCTCGCTCTGGCGGCTAAAAAAAGCGACCATTCTCGAGCACCTGGCCCCCATCTGTCACCGGTGCCTGTAAAGGAGGCAGCAGGTCGCCTTACAGCCTCCCCGCCATTGACCCAAGAGGCCACAGTGCAGTTGGACTTGGCGCTGCCAAAGTCCCACAAGCTAGTCCTGGACACCGGGGTAGGGAACCACCAGGCGAGGCGACCTTTAAAGCTGGCACCGTTGGTCTTGTCTGACAACGTTGGACAAGTGCACAAGCAGAAAGTGAAATGTAACCAAGGAAAGACATGTGTAAGTCGGGAGAAGGTTTCCATTGTAGAGCTAAAGAAGCCGTCAAAAGCGCCAATTAAAAGCATGCAGGATGTGATTTGCCAGGGTACTCCGGCTCCGCTGTTCCCCAAGCTTACCCCGCACTCGCCCCATGTTAAAGCCAGAGGCAAGATCAGGTCAACAGGCCCAAACCTCACAAATCAAGACAACGCTGAGAAGAGACGGCTGAGGCTGACAAGAGAGCAGTGCTTGGAGGAGGCTGAGACCAAGTCCAGCACGTCGATAATGGTAGCTTTGTGTTCAGATGAAGACAAGAGAGCCAAAGGTGTCCGAAGCAGAGGTCAGCGGCAGGACGCGCCTCTGAGAGGAAACCCGCAATCTGGAAAAGGCATCAGGAGGCTTCCGGAGGTCCCCCAGGAGAGCAGAAGTGTCAAGAAGAGCAGTGCAGAAGACAGAAAGTCCAGGGAATTGTCCGGAGATGAGCCGTCTGAACCTGACGGTGAAAAGACGAGCGCTGCCAGCTGGAGTTTAAAAAGAAGAACGGCCTTAATGGAAAAGCAAAGCAGAACAGTAACTCTGGAGCGACCCCAGCTCTGATTGTAGTAGTACTGGAGGAAACATGTTACACAAAGCTAAACAATGCAATATGAGTACTGTTTTGCAAGAAGTTATAAATAGATTGAAATGAATGTGAACTGCAGTCACTTTGATACACGTATGTCAATTATACCATTTGTACACAACAAAGGCCAACTACTGTACAGCATGAATGAATTGTCTATAGGTCAAACTAGGAAAACAACAAGATTGTTCAAGATGGGTTTTTTTTTTAGATGTGAGCCATAATTATTGCACTGAGCAATATAAGGGTGCTTGCTCTTTTTCCAAATGAAATTTCTAAAACTGATATTTTTTTCCCCAAGACATTAACTTTATGTACTTGTTTACTTGTGTGCCTACTGCCTACTTCATTAGTTGGGATTGTACCAAATGTGTTTATTAGAAATGTAAATTTTTTTAACCATACATTTTTTCCCCATACTTATTAAGGCTTTCAAGACTTGCGCAAGCACCCTGAATATTGTAAGTTTCTACTGTATATTTGTATTACTTTCTTTTGTATGATCAATTGTCTGGTAAATTACAGTTTTATTTCAATTGTTGAAATTGTGACTGAATTTTTAATACAATTGAAATTATGCAGCTTGGCTTCTAACTTCTAATTTCATTCCATCTCCTTCCATTTTATCCGTAGCCTGGTCGCGGGGGCAGCAGTCTGAGTAATATCTAACATGTATCAACAAAACATCAGCAGTCACTCACTACACATTCTTGACCTAATGAGAAAAACACTAATATACAGTCATAATTGCCTATTAAAGCTACGGTGCCTGATTTCCAAAACGTAAAATGATGAGGAAACCCATTTTACTAGATCCTACTGTAGTAAACAACCAACCACATGTATTTGTTTACAAACTTGGATAAAGCAGCTTCATATCCCGGCAAGGCAGATGTATTTGTATAGCACAGTTTATACGCAAGGCAACTCAAAGTGCAAAACTAGACAGAAACAATCCCACAAGGCATTCAAATCATAAATAATTGAAGATATAATCCTTCAGTTGTATGCGCAGCTAAACAGAACTGTTTTCAATCATAGATATCAAAATTTTTGTTCTTGAATCTCTGCTTTTTTGTTTGACAGTTTTGTTCTAGCTATATAAAACATTTTTCATTTTGTCCAATGCCGATACTGTAGGAAACTATAACATATCTCGATTTATGACTTTACAGACCATTTATTTATCTTTTCCAAAAGTATAAATACATCAAAAATGATTTAAAGAATGGCATTTCAAAAAGTACATGTCAGGACCCTGTAAGTGATGTGTCCGGGTTTATGCGTGTGTGTTTATGTATGTGCGTGTGTCCCATTCCAATAGTTTTTCCTCAGCTCAGCGGATGCTTTCATTCAATTACTACAGCAGCCTCAGACTACAGTGATGCATCTGGCACATTGCAAGGCCGTCTATTCCAACACGGAGGGCAAGTATGATGTAAGCAGATTGTATTACATTCAAGTTAATAAAACATATTTTAATCTATAGTTTCCCAAATGTGTATAACAGGCAAGCACATGGTTAACTCCTGGTTCACTGCTATTGTGGATTTCATCCCAAAACGCTGTTTCCAAGGGGCTCATGTTGTTTCCATCTGCTAATACATAGAAAGATATACTACTGTAAATGTCTGAATACCAATCAAAAGCGAAAAAGTGGGTTGGTTAATGACAAACAATCTAATGCATTGAATTAATTAGCATTTTTGGAATTGACTGAAATTGTTTTGTGACATGTGAGCTTGAGAGCTAGCAGTTAGTGCCAATAACAGATGGTGCAAACACTAAACTAGCTTTTAGCCACTCTCCAGGCTGCTCACCTCTCTGGCCCCCAGACACACGACAACAGACGGCCCTGGGACGGCCTCCATCAGTCAGAACCAGCATCTGCCTACAGTCGTCAGCACACTTCCCCAGCACTTCACACCAGGCCTATACATAGGCTGGATCTGGCTCACTTTCCTTGGCTAAAAAGGCAGTGGAAATAGGCCTGGCTCTAATGGCTGAGGCGTTTGCCATCCAAAGCATTCATACAATATATTGTCATTGTGTCAGCGAGGCGTTTAGACAATTCTTTTTTCATGTCACACCAAACGTAGTAAAAAATAAATATTACTATAATTTTCATATCTCAAGAATATAATATTTGGCCAATCACTTATATAAACTGGCATATTTTGGCAGGTTGCTCATTAGGGCTGAAACAACTAATCGATTAATCGACGACTAATCGATTATTGAAATAGTCGACAACTATTTTAGTAATCGATTAATCGTTTTCTGGTTCACACAAACTCAAACAGAGCAAAAATGACATGAAAATGTAGTATTTTTGATTAAAACCGACTTTGTTTTTATAATTTCATGAATATTTGTCTGTCTCATCCAATCAGAGCAGAATTAGCACAAAGAGCCTGTTACAAACATTTACTTTAAGTTTACGCCATCAATACGTCCTCGAGTGTTGCCACTTTAGCTTTTTGTGATGAAAAAATAATTCACAGCCAAGCAATTACTCGATTAATCGTAAAAATAATCAATAGATTAATCGATTACAAAATAATCGTTAGTTGCAGCTCTATTGCTCATGTACAAGTGAAAGTAGAAAGATAAGCCCCCTGCAGTGCTGCTGTACTGCACATGAACAGTAAGATTATAAGGGCATCAAAACAAGATAAGCACTCAAGCTGGGCATTGTTCTGAGCCTGCCGATACAATACGTATCTCGATGACACAACACGTTCTAGATACTACAGGGGATAGGGGTTTCACATAATCTTATTTCAAAACAATGCTATCCCCTGTAGTATCCCCTTATATATATATATATATATATATATATATATATATATATATATATATATATATATATATTAACAGGTCTGTGTCTATAACTGTTCTCGTTTCAGACACTTTATTTAGGCAGACAGATTATTAGGCATTCAGTGCATTGATTGACAGCTATATTTGCTCATTATAGAATAAGTCAGTAAAAAGTCATGGTGTGTGTGTCACAAAAGCTTTGAAGCCATAATCCAGACTTTCGTTCATATTTGCTAAGTTATCCATTGTCAACATCTGATTTCAGAAGTGTGCATTTGCAGGGCTGTATAATGCAGGTCACAGCAGGATGTTGGATACAGCAAATACAGGAGCAGAGACAGAGTGCGGGGGTGAGTTTTGAGGACAAACTTTGAGCATCTGCCAGACAGGATGTACTGAAGCTGACTGACATACAGAGCTCACAGCAGCTTACTTCTGTCACACCATCAGGCTGGTTGTATACAATGTGATGTACAGGGATATTATTTACAACTGCAACATCAAGTCAGATGGAAAACATTGCGTGCAAAGCATCGTGTGGAGATCCTATGTTAACGATGCATTTTAGTTTATACTTTTTTTTATCATCCTTTACAATTCTGCAACGTAGCGATCATACCTGTGCAGCACCTAGGAGAGGAATACAAGATACAAAAACACCAAAGACAAGCAATTACCACTGAGCTCAAACATTCCAGACGTTTCTAAATTTTTTACCAGAATAATGAACCGCAACATAACGAGCACTTATAGCTGAGCAGATCTCCCAGTTGGCACTACAAACCCTCAACCATCTGCTGGTTTCTGGAAGATCTGGCATCAAGATGTTAGCTGCAGATTTGCTAAACCCTGGATATAACACGTTTGGTCTCTCGCGGCTTGGATTTGTTTACAGAGAGTGCATCAGTCCCAGTCTGTTGTCGCTCATTTCCACTTCCAGGCTAGTTTAATTTAGAATTCTAAATATGTCAATATATATATATCTAAACGTTAACATACAAATAAACTACAAATGGAATACAAATTATTGTTATTGCCATTGTAAGTAACAGAAAGTAACAAGCTAGGAATTAGCTTTGGTATCTAGTGCGAAGTAATACAAAAAAGTGAAAAAAGGTATACAGGCATGCATACAAAATCTTAATACAGTTGCAACTCTATATATATATATATATATATATATATATATATATATATATATATATATATATAATATGTACAATAGGTCTGGCATGCGCTTCATGTACTGGCGAACCCGCTCCCATCTGTATGTGGAGTGAGAGGACAAATGCCCAAAAAATAACAATTGTAAACAGCTTTGTGACTGGTCTGTGAAAGGCGTTATGTAAATAAAGATTACTTTACTTACTAAAAAAAAACATGTATTATTCACTACTATCCGCATCTTAAAATGTATACATTGTATTCCAAGTAGAAATAATATTTGAATGGATGAACTATAAAATGTGTGGGGTCTGCCACCAGATTTTCTCAAAGAGGTGAAAATGCACTCAATAAAAGCTGTGATAAACCCCGCTCCACCTGGGCAGGCAGCTGGGCTTTATGTCCTGCAAAATTGATCAGAAACAGACCTGTCAAGAACCTTGTTTGAGCCATGGTCGTACTGTATCTCACCCCTCCTGTAGCCATCATGGATTAAGAAATTGTTGTGTAAATGTCCCAGAGTTTGAATAAAAAAAGGCAAATAGAAAACAACTAAGAATTTAGCAATGCTTCGTACCACACTATATCGTGATCATGATGTGTCCCGGGACAATCTCCATGAGTTCATACGTAGACAGGAAAAACCTTGTTAAAACGGCTCTCTAAGCCCGCTTTGAGCACCATGAGCCTGCAGGGTTTCATGTGGTCAAAAGTGTGCAAAACAGTTCTGTAAAAAAAACTTTCTCCAACCTCCACTGTGGTGGCGTCACAGCACACATGCACTCACACACTCACAACCGTGTGCGTATTGAATAATAGCACCAAGCACAGGCAAAGCAGATGGTAACAAAAGGCATGTAGCGTTTCCAAAACATTTCACCAAACTACTGTAGATGAATTTGAATACAATTTGCTTTTAGAGATATGTATTAGATATGAAATTGTTGTAACCAAAAATGCATTGTGTCTTTTGTCATTCGGTCAAGAAAAAATGTGTTTTGAAACTTTTCCAACATGGTATGCCTCACATTGCATCGCTAATCAAACTGAAAGAGCTCACAACAGGCGCATTTAATTTTCAAATCCCAAACATAACAGGTGAAGTACCCAGCCCTGTGGAGATACTGTGCTGATGGGTTGAGGGTCCAAGGCAATATTCATCAGCTTTCCATCTGTGAGGAAGTCAAATGATCAAATGATCACTGGGCACATTCATCAGAGAGAACTGGCTCTGGAGAAAAGTAAGAACGATGTTGAATGCAGAGCTTGAAACCACAGAAAACATGTAACTATGTAATAAAATCAAACTAAGTTCCTCACACTCAAAGCAGTTCAGGTCTATCACTAGTTTTCACATACATGTATGTTTTGTCTCATATCTAGATCAGCTTTTTCAGACAGACAAAATTAAGAGAGGACCACCCTCACTCAGCCAATCAGCTCTCAGCTCAAAGTGTCAAATAGTGACTCACAGGGCGTACAACTATTGTCTAATAAGAGGAAGACAGCATGTTGTGTTCTGATTTGTTTACATTTTATAGCACTCTTTGTGTTGGGGTTAAATTAAGTAAAAAATTGCTTAATTTAAGTACATTCTGACTGCCTTAAAACAAGATTTGCCAATGGGAATTATCTTGTTTTAAAAAGTTATAAGAAATGTCTCCCTTGGAATGAGAAAATAAAGCAACAGTTTTAGAAATAAGACGAAATGGCTTGTCCCCGTTAGGCAAGGCAAGGCAAGTTTATTTGTATAGCACAATTCATACACAAGGCAACTCAAAGAGCTGAACAAAACAAGATAGCAATAAAATCATAAATGGCAAAATGTACACAAATTAAGATAAAAAAACAACACTTGATTCAAGCAATTATCACCTCATATTTTTGTATTTTTTTGCAGTAGGTAACCCAGCTTTAAGTCTCAATACAGCAGGGTGACATGGAGGATGAGGCTGATTTATTTCAACACAGGGATTTGTATTGCCCAAAAACATCTTTCGTCCAGCTGTCTTTGCGCATGTAAAAATCATAACATATGTTGTCAAAAATTGCAGTTAAAAGATCTTTTGGCTGACATGATTGCAAAGCTGTCAAAACAACACTTTGGGGGGAAGCGCAGATCACAGGGCATTTCTGTTCCTAAGCGCGAGGACACGAAATGTTACACAGGGCATCCAGCAAAAGAGCAAAAGCGTTCTGTAATCATTTCCCCAACTTAATCACAGCCTTTCTCTGTAGTGTGTGGCAGCCTGTGCGCAGCACGGCCCGGCCCACCACACCATCCCCAGGGCGGCTCCCTCTGCGGCTCTCCCAGTGGCAAGGGCCCGGGACGGTTGGGGCGCGTTGCCAGGGCAGCCGTGTCTTTTCTTTCAGCTGGGCGCAGTCATAGAAGAAGCAGGCAAAGGGGAAAGGGGGGGAAGAAAAAGACCAAAATATCTTGAAAGTTTGCCTCTATAATTGGCTGCGTGGCTTGGAGCAGAACAGTAGAAGTCACCTCGTCCCCCCCAGTGAAATCCAACTCTCCCACATACAAAGTTCCTCCTCCTCTGTCCGCACACACACAAGCCTCGGAAACTCACCTCACTTTTCGGATCAACACTAAACACTGGATTGTCAAGCTGGATTACATTTGATTTGAACTGAGATTTAAGGGATTTTTTTGGGGTCTAATCGCTTCTGGATTATAGCCATTGTGTTAACGATGCTGAACAGGTGCTGATTGTCGGAAGTACTCCTGGAGGCTATAAAAACGCAACCTCCAGGTTAGAAATCAGGTAAGGGTTCTCCACAGTGACTGCATGACACAAACAACTACTTTTGTAAATTAACACGCTCGCAAAACAAATAGCAGTCTACCTTTTCTGTTTTTGTCCTGCCTTGTTCTGCTTTTTCCATTCTGGCTGTGATACATGTGGAGCTTCTGTTAGAGACATCAGCATCTAAGTCCCTGGTCTACCATTGAGACAGGAAGTGGAATCAGGCCAGGTGATGCAGACCGACAGAGTGTAAGGGATTTGGTCTTGGATGCTGACAGAGTAAAGACAGCTTGATTTTAGCTTATGTAGAAACTGTTCAACTCAATTCTAGTTAAAGCAATACAATATATTTCTGAAGAGCAACATTAATATATTAACAATCCCCAGTAAATATCTGGAGCAGGGAACATCACAGTCTTGTGCTCCTCTACAGGAAACAAGCAAGTGACATCACCATGCTAACCTAAAGCTGAGGTACAAAATATATATATACATATACTACTTCCTTCCTTGTTGCTTGCTCTATAAAAACACTAGTTCAGATCAGCTTTTTCAGACAAAAGTAAAAAACACCCTCATTCAGCCCAAAGTGTCAAATAGTGACTCAGAAAGAGCCCTGTGAGTCACTATTTGCAGTATGCAAACAATGAAAAATGTTCTAAATATAGGAAGACAAGTGGTCTGATTCGTTCACGTTACACTATAGAAGACTCTTTGTTGGGTCAAAAGGCACGTAGTATTTCTTTTAAAAGGTTAGGTAACCCAGCATCAGCTTCTTTTTGTGCAATTCCATCTGTAATTAATCACAGACAAACAATAAAAGAAACAAATTTCTACCTGGCAACAAGCTGGTAGCAGAACCCAGAAGAGAAGTTGCGCAGTGGACCTACTGTATAGATAATAACTTCTTCTGTTTACAGTTGCCTTCACAGCCTATACCAGTCAGATATGTTTTTCTTTATAGTGACATATTTAGAACAAAGAAAGGGGGAGAATAAGGTTTCCAGGGATTTGCTACCGACTAATAGAGCAATTTAAGTAATTGGGTGTTGTACACTGTTCATTTATAGCCCCAAAGAGACTAATGGGGGAAAAATTGGTCCAGTGGGAGTCAGATAAGGAAACCAAAACACATGCTGCACAAGTGAAGTTTTTATATTTCACACACTAGGTTAGGTTATTAAGGTCACATCAAATTGTTGAAACTACCTTAAATGATCATGAAGCATTTCCAAAGAAGTCACAGTGCATCTGGTCATTAAACTAAGTACCTGTAGCAGGAGGGATTTACAGTGTGGCAGTAAGTGTATACAACGATCTAGAACAGGGGTGTCCAAATCATTTTGATCTGATGGCGAATTTAAAAGTAAGAGAACAGGTATAAACATTTATTTGATGTGTGGAAAGCTCATCTTGCGATTCTATTTTCTGGTAAGTCTTTCTAAACAAAATGGGTTTGGTTTGTTTGGTCTGAATCCAAAGGTAAAGAAGGACTGTTACTGTAATCAGATCGGCCAATGATGTATTGTGTAAAATTCAAAAATAACTGTTTTGGTTTAAAGGTAGACATGGCAGTTTCCTTCAGAAAATAGGCTTTGAATTGATCCATTAACAAAAACTAATAACTCATCAAATTTAATAGCACCGCCCCCTGAACTGTCCTGAAGAGATTTTCATGATGTGAGAAAAGAACATCTGAGTTTCCATTCCTTCTTTTACCTCCTTCACAAACCCCCTGCATACAAACAACCTTCAGAATAAGTCATATTATGGCTGCAGTCACAACCACCAGTGTACAGTAGGAGTAGAAATAGTCTTGTGTTTAGATGACAGCTTTCTCTTAATGCCACCCAGTGTCATAAATGAGCATAGAGAAGCAACAAGCAGGTGGTGCTGCATCAGCAAAGCCTCTGCCTCCTGCAGGAGGAGAAAGAGAAAATACTTTGGCAGCAGGATTCTGCCATTGTCCACGCTGCCGCTATTTTCTGGAGAGACAATTGGCTTGTCTCTGCACGGCACTGTGTATTTTAAACCAAGGTTTTAATTATGACATCCAGACTATGCAACAGTTTTCCCACCAGCATCCACATAAAAATGTGGAAAGAAAATGTGGAAAATACATTGTGCATTACAGCAAACGAAGAAGACTTTTAAATTTAACAAGTCAGATGCAACTTGAAATAATCTCCTTAGCATTCCTGCTGTGTGGAAAACCCAAATGTCATTTTATTAGCTTTAATCTCCAGACACTCTCGCTGCTGAACAACCACAGCTTAGGCAACATCTTGTTTTGAACAGCTGTCAAAAAGGGACTGTTCTGTCCATTCAGTGCACATATTGTTGACGTTTCCACTGACCTTTCCACAGGAGGGACAGCTTGATGGTTGTAATAGGCTAAACAGAACAGACCTGAAACCAAGGCCACGATGGAATTACGACTGGGACTCAGGATCACCCTGGTCTTGGTCATTCTGGCCTTGAACTTGTCCGGTGAGGCGGTACAAGCACAGAGGGCAGGTAAGAGCAACAACATTTTATAAATAAATGTGAATGAGTTGAGTTCTGCCAAAATTAACTGGACAATTCAAACTGGAAACATGCTGCAACTATTTCAGAACAAAGACATTCATACCTAAAATGTCAAAAATATATTTTATTGATCAATTTTCTCTATTCAGAAGACCTCCATTTAGTAGAAATATGTGTTACACAAACGGAACTGTAGAAATTAAATAATTGCCTAACCCTACTAAATAATAGTTCCTTAGTGGCTGCGCAAAAGCAATTTCAAAGATAAACCACAGTTAATGAGTTCTATCCTGTAGTGAATCCTTACACTTTAAATGGTGTCCCTTCACACTCTTATATACACTTAATTGAAAAACACAAGAACATTATTTTGTGTTTTAGCAATAGTGGGAAACTACACCTACAGACAAAGAATACCATCTGGGACAGGTGTGAGAAGTCATTGCTGTTTAAAAAGCTTTTTATGTTTCCCAATAAAGCTGTCTCCTGGAACCATAAATACTAGATCTGCATGGTGAGGAAAGTATTTGGAAAAGTCTTACAGTTTGTGAATGAATATTGTCAGCATATAGTAATTGTAGTGGTACCTGTCATTTCCAAATTGAAACAAATAAATAAACGAAACAGTAAATCCAAGGTCTAAACATTTACATATTTGGCAGCCCTATTCTTTATTGTACTTCAAAGAAAGATTTTTTCATCAATATCATTCAAATATTGCCATTGTAATGCAAATGGAAAGTGCCTATATCCAACAGTGGTCTTTTCTTTTGTAAAATGAATGATTCTCTACACAATACACACTTTTATAATAAAAAAAACATAATGAAATAATATAGCAGCCTACATGGGTCTAAATAAAATCTGTTTTTTCCCTAGGTTGTAAAAACGTTCACTATGACTTGGCGTTTATCCTGGACACGTCATCCAGCGTGGGAAAGGAGAATTTTGAAAAGATCCGTCAGTGGGTGGCCAACCTGGTAGAGTCTTTCGATGTGGGACCTGAGAAAACGCGGGTGGCTGTAGTGCGTTATAGTGACAGGCCAACCATAGAGTTTAACCTGGGCCGCTACAGAAGCTTGGAGGAGGTGAAGAGGGCCGCTCGGAACATACGGTACCTGGGGGGGAATACGATGACCGGGGACGCTATTAGCTATACCACCACCAACATTTTCACTGAGCGAAATGGAGCCAGATCCAGGGCCCGCGGCATCCAGAGAGTAGCCATCCTTCTCACAGATGGTCGGAGCCAGGATTATGTCCTGGAGCCCTCCAAGGCAGCGACCGTGGCTGGAATCAGGATGTTTGCTGTGGGCATTGGGGAAGCGCTCAAGGAGGAACTGGAAGAGATTGCAGCAGAGCCCAAAAATGCCCATGTTTTCCATGTGACTGACTTCAATGCCATCGACAGGATCAGGGGCAGACTAAGGAAAAGGCTGTGCGAAAGTAAGTACATTGTACTGTAACTGATACTACCTTAGCTTGCACCTGAGATAAAGACATTGAATCAAAATCAACACTACAAACATCGAAATATGCAGTCCTGTTGTTAACAGTTAGAAGACCAATACTTCAAACCTATTTTTATCTCAGATATTAACATTCCGCTTCAAGACGTAAAACTGAAATTTAGGAGGAAAAAAATGAAGGTGCACAAACTACATAGAGTTGGGGATCGCTTTCAGCTTTCATGCTCTTGACCTTTAGTTAATTAGGATAGTTCCGTTAAGATTTCATCCTTTTTCAGAGGAGCACAGGTTGAAGAGGAGAGGGGCCCATAGTACATGTTTTTAGTGGTAGTAGTGATGGAGCTGTCAAATTCAGAGGACAGATTTACCTAGTAGGAAATGTCTGTGGTGGCAATTCTACAGCCTCAAAAATGAATTTCCGCAAAAAAGAGTTAAATTCCTCCTGTACAGTGGAAGTAAAACATAAGAAATTGAGTCGTGGTCCATACAGCTTTTTTTAAACATATACTTAATAATATAAAGTCTCTTATTTTAACCTTTAACCACGCGCCAAGGAAAGACCCTTACCACCAAACCCCGCCCCGACCACAGAGAGGCCCTGCACATGCGCGCTGGCTCTGGTGGCTTCCCTTTGATGGACAATAAAGTGATGGGGGTGCTGCAAAGACCGCCTTGTAAATGACAGCATTCTAACCATGACATTTCTGCGGTGGTGCTCCCTTTAAGCTGGCTGCGCTGATGGAGAGGTGTTTAATACTGGAAAGCGGGTCAGATTCAACCTCAATGGTTTTTCCACTAACAAACGCTTTCACCAGAACTTAACTCTAAGACCAACAGTAGCTATAACAGCATTTGCAGAAGTAGATTTGACGCACTGCTGTATGGTTCGCCCAGTAGCAGTGTGGAGAGAATAAGAATGAGAGAGGCTTCACATAGATGATGAATGCTTTGGGCTCAAGCACTTGAAATTCCAACCTAAAATTAGCCAGACAGGAAAGAAAAAGATGCCACGATTCCTTACCACAAACTGTAAATACTGAAATGACATGATTGCACAGTTTAAAGTACACAGAAGAGTAAAAAACTGTAAAAAACTTTAACCAGACACTAAATAGTCATGTTTGACACTTATGGAACAGCTCTCCAATAATAAAAAACACAAATCAAAAGGTTTGAATACAAGGTATGTTCTATGAGTATTTAAAGATAAGTGTTGACTAATGATATTGTAAATGGGATTTTATTTGGTAATAGAAAATCCTTTTGACTGTAGATGGATCAGTACTTTTATTTGAATTATAAAATCGAGACCTTCCTTCACTCTGGTCACAGCATTAGGCAGAATCTAACATATTATTATTGACATTGCCCGTAAATTAAAAATTTAAATCCAAGCCCATTTGAAAGTTTCCTTGGTGTAATCTCAAAAACTACCACAAGTGAATGTCTAAGTATACAAGTGGTCAGCAGAACTGGCTCACACAGCTATGCAAGTTATTTTCACTTAGAAAATTACAGCTCTAATGTTACGAATTGGTTCGAAGCAGCCGTCCCAATGGCCAAGATGGTTGTTTTCACCTTTTAATCTGTAAGGCTAAAATAGATTAAAGAGCAAGTGAACTATTTTGTACCATATTAGATCATGTGTGGTCTCGCACAGTTGACCTATGTGACCTGGAATGTCACTGACCTCTGCAAAACACAGGATGTTAAACTTCAAGTTGGAATAGAAATCTCCTTGTGTAAATTATAAGTTCCTGGCACACGTACTGTTGATAAATGTGACTCCAAGTGAGATACATCTTTCCAAAAGCAAGTGTTTTACTTTGGTCCCTTTTTAACTCACAGCTGGATTCCTAAATTATAGCTTGAGGGCCACAAGTGCAGGGAGTATGGCTATGTAGCATGCTAGCAAGTCCTTTGGGTTACAGCCTTTGAAAAGAATGACGCACTCGCCTTCACACACTGAATAGCAATTTAAGGTGAGGTGGTTCATTTTATATACAACACAACCCAAGCATTCAGATTGGGATAGAAGCTCTATTACCACTTTGCACAGACATTTACAGGTGACAGTTGAGGACACAGACGAACACCTAAATGCAGACGCTTTACAGCTTCTGGAGGTTAAATGGATTGTGCAAAAGTCACTTTTGTTTTTTATTGCTCAATGGATTGTGGATTGTGCCGTGTTAAATTTGGGGGACTCTGCTACCAAGTTCCTATCTAAGGCAGGTAGTACAACAGAGGCGTCATTTACTAAACCGCTTGAGAAAGTCTAACTAAAAGAGTTTGTAGAGCTGTTGCCACACGCTGGGTCATCATCAGCACTCAGGAGAAGATCAACAGAATAGGACCCCGCCTCAACTTACACCTCTTCTTACCCATATATGGACATGTTTCAACTAAATTATATGTTATACATAAACTATATAAAGCTGTTTGGTGATTCTCCTCACAGTTCATCTTAAATTGGAAATGGAAATGTAAGAACTGTTGAAAATTAATTGAAAATTTAAGATTGTGAAAATTGGAAATTTAAGATGAACTGAAGATTGATCTTAAATTAAATGTGTTGTAATAAATGTAAAAAACTTAAATAGAATGATTTTAACTGTGTTTTAGTGAAGATTATGATCTTTAAGCATCTACTGATGTCAACAGTGGCTAAATCTAGTAGTACCTCATAGATTTTTTTCCAGCCGCACAATCAATCCTATTTTTATTAAGAATCATAACTGAAGCTGCAACCAAGAAGCAACAACAAGAGCTCATTTAAAACGCACATGGTAATCATGTTAATGAGCGTGTGAATTCTTCAATTTCCTTCAATCACACATTTACACCTTGGAAACGCAGTAGGATGCTAGCTACATTCTGTTTGCATAAATAGAACGGTAGCCAATAAAAACCTCGACCAGAGGTGTATACTTTCCCACTGTCATCACAACGACAGAAATATGTGTGTGAAACATTAGACTGTTACTACTGTCACTCTTGGACATCAGCACCTCATTTGCCCATGAGCCTCCACCTCAGAGCAGTTCTAAAGATTGCTCGACCACAATCCAGCCTTCTCATATGCCTTCACTGGATGGAGTTATGAATCAAGTATTTCATTTATAATAGAGCAAGTTTGACAGTGGTGCATCATTGACCAGTTTTAATATGTTTGTGCAAATGCATCAACCGTTTGGCATCAAAAATCATATCAATATATCTGGTGTAAGCAGAAATGCAAGATTAAAATATATGTAGCTTTATCATTACTTTATCATTACTTTATTTTTAAGTGATAAATAACTTTATTCTCACAGCATGCTATTTTTATTAGTAAGGAAGTCTATAGTTTCTCACAGTCACACGTCATACTGAATCTGTGATTCTGTCATGTCTAATTCCACCATCTTCTCTCCACAGACGTGCTGTGTCCAAACATGAAAGTTCAACCTGATCGCTTCAAGCCCAACAGCACAAGTTATGGTCTTGGTGAGGTTCCAGGTATGTGGAAACGGCTGCTTTGCTACAAGTACACACAGCACTACAACACTTTTGAAAACTATATTTTAAAAAGGCGATAGGATGGCAAGCATACAGTAGTCCAGTGTTTTTCAACCTCTGTGCCGCGGAACACTAGTTTGTGGTATGATATTGTCTGGCGTGCCGTGAGAAATTCGCCTACTTTGTCTGAAAATAACTGCATCCACCGTTGGTGAGTGCTGACTTGTTTGGAATTGTGGGGTAATCACGTAATACTTTTTCATATCAGAATCAGAATCAGAATCAGAATCAGAATCATTTTTATTGCCACGTGAGTAACAAAGTTATCACTTGGAAATTGTCTTGGCAGAGAGCGTGCCACTTCGCCATTTGCGGCGCTGTGTGCAGCAAGAAACAGCAGAGAGCAATAACATTCAGGTTACAACAGACAGTTGGATAGAAAACATTGTGCTTTGTATAAACCACGGATTTTTTTCTCGGGATGAGCACCTCCGGCTGCCGGTCCAATGTGGCTGTCAGAGGGGGGCGGGGTCAGGGAGGGGGTGAGTCGGAAACACATTGAGGAGTGGAGGGGAGGGAGAGATCAGAGGGAGGCGGGGGGAGCGGGATCCAAGCTGGAACTGACTGAAAGAGTGTGAATTGTTGTAGAGACCAGATTTATTATTATGGCCTTGGCCCGAGGAATGTGAGATAAGAGTGGGGAGAAGACACAGCAAGGAGAAAACACATCTTCCTGTAACGAGGGACAATATAGTATGCATTTTAGCAGTCAAAAACAGGCAGATATTCTATTAAATCCAATTAAACCGAATTACGGCGCCCTCAGACCTCCGTACACAGGGGCAAATCCAAGCCGGGTCAGAGAGTTCAAGCGTGACACACAATGTCATTCAATCTCAATTCCAGAGTTTTATGCCCATCAAGTGAACGAGCTGCGAGATCTTTGATCAACTGTTCCACTAACACCACTCTTCGTTGTCCAGCCACAGCACTCTCAACCACGACTCGGTTAAGCTCCTTGTACATCCCATCAATTTTGTCGGCCAGCAGGTCGTGAATCTTGCGAACTGCCATGCCTCCAAATTTGTGGTAGAAGAGAACCGCTCCAAACCCAAACAGGAGGATCCCCACCACCAAAAAGCCAAAGATATATACGTCTTCCGAATCTTCAATGGACAGGGTCGACAGACAGAGGGGCTGAAACTTGTTCCAGCTGTCAAGCGTATAACCCGCTGGTGAAGTCCCGTCCGGGCACTCGGGCTCTCCAGACCCACGCTTACGTGTTGAAAAGATAGAATCAATTGCGTTGAGGGACCAATTTACCATTTCCATTCTTGCTAAAGTTGTCTGTGGCAAAACTCCAGGAAAAAGACAAAAACAGGAGATAGCAAGCAGTCAGAAGCAGGAGCGTCTGAGACACGTCTATGCTCGACGGAGGCGGAAGAGAAAGGTAGGTGGCAGCAGATAGCTAAGTACTTTGAAACGTAAGAACTGGACGCAACCACAGAATGTTACAGGGAGCGAGGAGCATGTGGCGAGTGAGAAGTGAAAGTGATGGAGACGTTTTAGAAAAGGAATTATGCCATTTCTGAACAGGATTCACATCCTCTACTCTGACCCCGGGGCAGCTGTGGCCACGTTGTACTGTCAGCCGCTTTGACAACAGCACGCACATCCGTAGTACCAAGCGCGGACTTTAGACGCGCAGACAGAACCACGGACTCGTGGACAAAACCATGGACGCGCAGACAGAACCATGGACTCGTGGACAAAACCATGGACGCGCAGACTGAACCATGGACTCGTGGACAAAACCATGGACGCGCAGACTGAACCATGGACTCGTGGACAAAACCATGGACGCGCAGACTGAACCCTGGACTCGTGGACAAAACCATGGACGCGCAGACTGAACCATGGACTCGTGGACAAAACCATGGACGCGCAGACTGAACCATAGCGCGCACAGCTGAGAGTGAATTTTTTTAGGTTTTTTTCCCCACACAATTAGTTCCACTTTATTCCCAAGCTCTTGTTCTCATTGTACAAGGCTTAATGTCAAGGCCTGGAGTCTATTTAAGCACTTAGATGAGAATGACTTTATATCGTGAATATAGGCTGCAGCAGTGTTTTTCAACCTTATTGAGCCAAGGCACACTTTCTTAATTGAAAAAATCTCGCGGCACACCACCAGGAGAAAATGTAAAAATATATACTCTTTAGCCTATATTTACAAAGAAGGACATGTTCTTTTAACTGCTTCTGTAAAGACAAAATCAAAGCAGGTACGGTCTCTGGGCAGCTTAAACAGACTGTCCATCACATGGTGTCCTGACTGACAGCATTCCAAGCAGCTGCAAAAGCTTTCTCCAATAGAACTAGACGGCGTTCATCCAGAGAGTTTGGGATATTGATTTAAGAATGTCTCCTGGGATGTTGGTTCCAGCCTGTGTCTCCACCCCAAATCCCAAAATGAAGCATTAATCTGATCTACGGCATTCCATTGTACTTGAATAAATAATGTTAATATAACTGTAATCCTGTGGTCCCCGAACTGGACTGGACGATGTTGTCCTGTTGGCTCCAACGAACCAGGACCTACAACATGCACTGGGACGGTTTGCAGCCGAGTGTGAAGCGGCTGGGATGAGAATCAGCACCTCCAAATCTGAGGCCATGGTGCTCGACCGGAAAAAGGTGCCTTGCCCTCTCCGGGTGGGAGGAGAGGCCCTTCCTCAAGTGGAGGAGTTCAAGTATCTCGGGGTCTTGTTCACGAGTGAGGGAAGGATGGAGCGTGAGATTGACAGGCGGATCGGTGCAGCGTGCGCAGTGATGCGGTCGCTGTATCGGACCGTTGTGGTAAAGAGGGAGCTGAGCCGAAAGGCAAAGCTCTCAATTTACCGGTCAATCTTCGTCCCCTCCCTCACCTATGGTCATGAGCTTTGGGTAATGACCGAAAGAACAAGATCGCGGATACAAGCGGTCGAAATGAGCTTCCTCCGCAGAGTGGCTGGGCGCTCCCTTAGAGATAGGGTGAGGAGCTCAGTCACACGGGAGGAGCTCGGAGTAGAACCGCTGCTACTCCACGTCGAGAGGAACCAGTTGAGGTGGCTCGGGCATCTGTTCCGGATGCCTCCTGGACGCCTCCCTGGGGAGGTGTTCCGGGCATGTCCCACCGGGAGGAGGCCCCGGGGAAGACCCAGGACACGCTGGAGGGACTATGTCTCTCAGCTGGCCTGGGAACGCCTTGGAGTCCCCCCGGACGAGCTGGAGGAGGTGTGTGTGGATAGGGAAGTCTGGGCGTCTCTGCTTAGACTGCTGCCCCCGCGACCCGGCAACGGATGAAGCAGAAGAAAATGGATGGATGGATGGATAACTGTAATCAAAATTAATTATCAATTGATCATTATGGTTGTTCATGAAAGTAAATAATACGGTGGCACAGTGCTTAGCACTTGTGCTTCACAGAAAGAAGGTCCTGAGTTTGATTCCACCTCCAGATGTAGCCTTTCTGTGTGAAATATGCATGTTCTCCCTGTGCATGCTCTGGTTGTGTGTTTGTAACTGCGACTGTGGGACTACAGATGGTAATTAGCTCTAAAAAGCAACAATCTGGTGTATTTACAGCTCCTGCTGATCATTACTACACACTGTCCCATCCAAACAAACAATGAAAAATAAAAACTCCTCCCCAGGAATTTAGATGCAGGGAGTTTTTTTAAAATACATGTTACATTTTCTACTGAATAAATGATTTCACATTCTAAAACATGAAATACCAAAGACAATGGTGTCAATAATAAGCTCTTCTTTAAAATAGCATTGAGAATAACTGGATTACTAATGTTTACAATCATTGATTACTTCCGATTAATCAATTCAATGTAACAGCCTTTTTAAAGGCATTTAAACATTTGAGCCAATTGCTAGTATTTCAAGACATACAATTTGGTATTTAGTACTTTGTGGTAAAATAAAAGAAGCAGATTGGCCATTTCCCTCTGTCCAAAAGCCAATCTAAACTTTTGGGTTTCTAAAGTGAACCTCTGAAACCCAAATATGAAATGAAAACCCACATACTGTATGTATTTAGGCACATGTACTGTAGGAGCAATGTATATTAGCAAACTACATGCACCTAATAGCATAATTCAATTTAAATGTATGTGTTATATAAATTATTCATTAAGGCATGTTAAGCATGTTGTACACAAACAGCTGCAGATTTGAAGACATACTGTAAGTAAACAAAATTATAGAAAAATTGACAACAGGGAAATGTTTCAGTAGGACTCCTGCCAAAGTGGTGACGTTATACTTTTTAGGCATCCTGGAATAACAGTGTCAAGACTGAAACCCATTCATATGAAATAGATTTGATTATTTTTTCTTGTCGGATATTTTTTATTGACCACTAGTGCCCTGTGTCAAATTAAATCACGTGACCACGCAGTGATTTGAGACGAGCCGATCATGGGAATCTGGCAGTGGAAGACTTGTTCAGAGTTGACAGCATTGGTTCCTGCTGTCGAGCTGCATTATCACATCCGAGCCACTGGCCAAGTGCTAATTATGTGGTTAAGCTCTTCTCTCAGCCCCACAAGACATTAAAACAAACTTTCAATAAATCACTGAAAGCCAACGACATTAGCTTTTGCACTTTTTCTAATTTGTGCAACTGGAATAATGTAGGCGAGAAAAACATCAATTGATAATTGACGGTTACAAAATTCCACCATTGTTATATATACAGTATGTTTTCTTTATGACTATTATCAAGTGATTGTCTCTTTGGAGCCAGACTTTTCATTCTTAAACTGCCCTATGTCTAATTTTGTTATAGATATGGAAAAACAGGTGCTTGTATTAAACTACAGACGACCAAAAGAGTATAATTACTATATCTCCTCAAAGTCAAAACCATAAATTTAAGAGCTGATTTTCTCAAGGGGTGGATCCAACAGTGGGTTATTTCTGACATTATGGGCTTGTCAGACTGA